GCGGTAGTGGGCGTGGCCAACTCTGAAGCCAGCCGGAACTCCGTTCCTGTGCGTTCCCGCCCCAAAATAGCCCTGCCTATGTTCATATAAATAGCTCTCGATAGCCATACCCCGTGTCCTTTAGGACTACAGAAAGTGTGGTCGCTTTGGGAACACGGAGATGCTTTTTCTGAGCCTCTCTCCACACCAAGTTGTACCTATTCAGAAGTATCCTCAGTGTACATCCTGTTGAGTGCCACAGCAGTGAGCCCAGAGCGACTCCAGGTTGCTGTGAGTTCCTTATAGATAACACGAGATGCAAATAGTAAGCAAAATGTGGGGAAGAAGGTGGGTCATCAAAGCTGTGTCACAGCAATGCAAGCAGTGGGGGTCTGGCTAGTTGGGAGAGTCAAGGGAACATCAGAACACCAGAAGAGCCCTGCTGGATCAGACCAATGGTCCATCTAGTCCAGCATCCTGTCTCACACAGTGGACAGCCAACAACGTCATAGAGGCTCAGGCTTTCCCTCAATTTTGCCTCCTGGCTCTGGAATTTAAAGGCTTAGTGCCTCTGAATGTGGAGGTTCCCTTCAGTAACCTTGGCTAGTAGCCATTGATACTTATCCTCCATGAATCTATCTAATACCCTTTTGAAGTTGTTTATTCCTGTGGCCATCATTGCATCCTCTGGCAGCGAATTCCACATTTTTATCACTCTCTGGGTGCGTTCAGATGGGGCGTTTCAGCCGGCATAAACTTACCTCCTGTCTGTGGAGCCCATCGCTGTATGCCCGTTCACATGCAGCGGGCGTCGGCGTTTTTTCTTTAAAAAAAAAAACCCTCACTTTGAGCATGCGTATAGGCAGCTATCCACAGAATGGCGATCTTCACGCATGCGCAAAACACCCCATCTTACATTTAAAGTTTAAAGGTAAGGACTTACCTTTAAAGTTTAAAGACCAAACTGGCCTCCCTGAGGTCTCGGAGTCCTCTAAAATCTTAAACTAAGGACCTTTTCTTTTTTTTAAAAAACAAACGCTGGGGCGAAGCTTCGCCCAAGCGCATATTGCCGACCTTAAAAAAAAAAGGTGGGTGAAAATCGGAAGCCTCGGGCTTCCGAACGGTAGTGGCTCTACAACGTTGGAGAGCGATCAGACGGGGGTAAAGTGATTACAACCGTTGGACTCGGAATACCACCAGTTGGGGACCTAGTGGCAGAATACAACGGTGTAAAGCTCTTTGCAACGGTTAGGGACGGAAGGCAGATGTTCGCCGTGTGTTCCTTTTGTCCGTCCTGAACGTACTGCCCATCAGCCTCATTGGATGCCCATGAGTTCTAGTATTTTGGAAGAGGGAGAAAAAATTCTCTGTGAGCTCTTTCCAGCCTGTACATAATTTTATAAACCTCTGTCATGTCCCCCCCTCCCAGTCTACTCCCTTCTAAACTGAAGATTGCCAGACTCTTCAGCCTTTCCTCATATAGGGAAGGCGCTCCAACCCCCTCGTCATCTTGGCTGGCCTCCCCTGTACTTTTTCAGCTCCGCAATGTCATTTTAGAAAGACGGTGACCAGTATTCCAAATGATGCCACAACATA